CTCTAATGTTGACACCTTCTTTCACCATAGACAATTTTTATTATAATAGTACAATTTCAAAACCAGGAAATTTAACATTGTTTAAATATTTTAAAACTAGAACCTAATTCTAATTTCTCCAGTTTTCCCACTAATGCCCAATTTCTGGGCCAGGATAACAGGTTCTATCCAGGAACCACAGTGTATCTAGTTGTTAATTGTTCTTGATCATCTTTAGCCTGCCAATGGTTCCTTAGTCTTGCTTTTTATGACCTTGTCACTTTTGCTAAGTTCTGACTGATTGTTGTGTCAAGCAGATCTTGAATTTGGGTTTGTCTGAGGTTTTCTCAATATTTGACTGAAGTTATGCATTTTGGGAAAGACTCCTCCGATATGATACTGTGTCCTTCATGGTGCATCCTGAAGTAAGGAGGCTGAGACTAAGTGACTTCTTACTGCCATCCTCGTACCTCTTGCTGGTTGGAGGGAGTTCTACACTCAGTGCTAAAAAGCTTAGAGGTGAGAGAAGCCATTGGTTAAATGCAGATGCCTAGCTCAAGGTGAGCTTGGAGAACTCTGCTTCAGAGAAATGCAGATGCCATAGCCTTAGGAAAATTTTGAATATAAAAGAATTCTCTGGTCCTGCCTTGATTATCTTCCTAAATGGCTTAAATCACCTGCCTCTGAATGCCTTTCAGATTTCCCTATATAGAAGGTTGAGGCCTATCTTCCCTAGATGGAAAAGTTCCTCTGGTACCTGAGCTTGTACCTGAATATGTCCATATAAGATATGGCATCTTGTCTTCATGGTGGGAGGAAGGTGATCTCCCCTCCCCGGCCTCCCAGGTGATGGGTGTACCTGAATCTCTGGAGACAGGGGTGGGTACTTGAAGGATAGGCTACAAAACCTTTCAGTCCAGTGCCTGGGAGTGGGAGTTTCCTGTGATCCTGCCCCCTGACCTGACCCTGTCTAGGCTCAGACCAACTCAGATGCCATTACACCATGCCACGTGTCTTCATGTTCATGTCCCGTCTCCTGGTGCTTCCCTGGTCACCATGATGTCCCAGTTCAGCTCTCCTTTGGAGCTGAATTAGTTTGTTGGTATTATTTTTGTTCTTTCTTTCCTTTCGGGCCTTCATGGCTCAGTTTCCTAACAGTGTTAAATGTATTTGCTGGCTGCTGGTCTTTGAGACAGGAGCATGCATTCGCTAGCCTTTTAATAAAGATTCCAAGATTTGACCTCTTACCTTATAGCATCCTATCACAGCATTCATCCTGGCCATCACTAGTGATACAGATCTTGAAGTTTCTTATTGTATCTTTCACCCTACTGGCTATTTACTCTCTGCTACTTATAACAGATAGCAAGACAACAGATCATGAAGAGCAGAACTGGAGGGGAACATAGAGACCATCTTCTGTTAGCCTCTCTCTTCTCAATTAAGCACCCAGAGGCTCCAGGCTCCAGCAAGGCAATCACTTGCCCAAAGATTAGCCAGTTATTTAATGAAAGTATGTCAGGTCTCAGGGTTCAAAGTTTAATACTAACTTCATTTTGTAGTTGGGCTCAAACACTTATAACTCACTTAGTCCCACTTTTACCAGACTGCAAGAGCTAAATGGACTTATGAATATTTAACTAATCTGGTCAAAATTTACAACCTACCTGGAAGAAATACCATAGAGAGGGATGTAGTCTTTGATTCCTGGTGCCCACTCACAGAAGTAGACAAGGTGTGAAATCAGATGAACTTCTCCACCAGCGTTTCTGAAATGAAAATAATTCTCCTGGAATGCTCCGCATAACACAGGGAACAACAACAAAAAAACCTACTTGAGATTTTTAACAGAAAAAGGAGATTTGTTTATTAATAATTCATGAGTTCCCATTGAACATGCACGACAGAAACCGTGCTATTCAATAGAGAATACTGTCATCTGTCACTGTTTTATTTGACATTTACACTTTTTTTTTTGCCTGATACTGCAAAACTTTCTTGGATGGCATGCAAAAATTATATAAATGAAAAAATCCCAACGTGGGGACCCTTTATCTCTTCTGTGGTGGGCTACACACATGTACATTCATGCAACAGCATGGCACGTCCCCACACATTCATTACTCACCAAACAAGCTAATAAGAGACCCTATTGAGAAAACAGAGATAAGCATCCCAAATGGGCTGGTGGGTAAGGTGGGAAGGGAGGTGGAAGGATAGATTTCCTGAAGATAAGCACATAAATACGTGCATCAGAGTGAGGAGGAAGCAAATCATGGCTGCCGTGAAGAAAACTGACAAAAAAATACACTGCCATTTCAGATACAAAATAAATATTTATAAATGGCATCACAGGAGCTCCGTTTGTAGGGAAGATCAGCACTTAGTAGAAGAGGTAGGAGGATCTTAGGATATTGTGCTACAGTAAGACTCCCCACAATCTTTCTGCTCCGTGGGTTAGTTATTATTTATAAAAATCACAGAACCAGCTGATACATTCATAAGCTAATTATTGAAGCAGCTGGGTACACATGGTGCAATATGTCCAAGGCTGTGAAGTATCACAGATTTCTTGGGGCCTGCTGTGGTGGGGGTGCACTGTTGAGGCTCCATTCCTTAATCTGATCAGCCAAGCAAACACTTTGTGGGGAAACTAGATTAATAACCCTCTAAATACCATGAATGTGCTTCATCTTCAAAACCGGGTTCCCTTAAACATGCTATTAGCTCAGCTCATCAGGGATTTGAGGAAGTTCTCTGGTGCCCTAAGAACAGGGTCTTGTTGGCTCCATCCCTATGCCAGAAATTAATTTGGTTTGCTTATGTCTGCACACATGATCACACTTGTGTCTAATCCGCTCCCTAATAGCTTCAAGGTCAAGACCTTTCATGTCAGTGGGCAAATTGAGCACTACACCTCTTAAAGACTGATGGCAAACAGCACACAGTCCATAACGAGGCCTGTAGTGTTGTTCTAAGTGATTGTAATGAGTGCAGATTATAACAGCGCATATAAATCAAACGTGGCAATGAATGTTGTGCGAGACATTCCAAGTGTCATAAGTGGAGATACCACTCAGCTGTCACCTGTCTCCTTTCAAGCTGTGGCTTCCCACAATGCAATTCATCCCTCAAGCAGAACAGCAGGTGCTGTCTTCCTTGAGGTCTGGGCAGCTCAGAACTTCATCTTTTAACAGATGTAGATTTTTGTTTTTATTTTCCATTCAAGGATTGGTCTCTATGCTATTGCTTCCCCTGAGAGATGTTAAACATACCTGTTTGAAACATTTGAAAGAGTTCAGTTGGAGACTTATTCAGATTTATGAAAAGACAGTGAAACAGGAGCTTATATTTTCCACAGATGGTTTATTTTCCATTTCAAGAATTCCTCCCTTTGTATAAAGAAACCCTTGAGGAAACACTTTGGGACCAGGAGATTTTAATTTTTTTAAATATCACTTATTGTCTGGCAGGAATTAAAAACTACCTTCATTTTTCATATATGTGGCTCTATGAAAATTAACCATTACCTGCCTCTTAATTGAATTCAATACAATCTATGAAAATACTTGGGGAAACATTTCCAAGCAAACGATAAGATATCTTGTTTTCATTCTTCCTAACCCTCTAACTCTCCCAAGCTCCCAGTTTATTGCAAGAAAAGATCAGGTCTGCGCAAATGTGGCCTCTCACTTGTAAAAACAAGGCAGTGTTGTGTTACAGATTAGTTTATAAATCCCCAGTGGCTTCACAGTTCAGTGCCTACAGCTGCTGCAGATGGGCCTAGGTTTTTGTCTCTTCGCGGTGCTGCAGCCGGCAGTTGAAGGAGAAAATGGAATGATCAGGTTATTAACATGGAGGCCGTGAGGAAGAGGTTGCACAATGAGAACAGCTGGTGTTGCTGTCTTGGCTGATGCAGCGGAGATAATCAAATCTTGCCCTTTTTTTTGGGTAAAAGCAGAAGACACAGTGGAGAGTTAGACAAACAACGGCTTATGATATTATATGGGGCTTTTATGATGCGTGTCAGGAGCTTACATTGGCTTACAAGTTCTGATAGAGAATTCGTTGAGGTTTGGGGATTCATTTTTCACAAAGTCAGTTGCATGTACACACCTCTTTCGAAAAAAATTACTCTTCTGTAAGATTCATAATGTGGGACAGTTCTTTTTTTAAAAAAAAAATTAGCTATGTAGCTTGGAAATGATGGGTTAGAAAGCTACTGGGTAAAATATTTTGACATGAGTCAGTGAGCGATGTTGACAGCATCCTCAGTATTATTTTCATATAATCCATCATTATTTGCATTCCATTTTCTTTCTCATGCAGTTGCAAGAGAGAGAACATCCGGACACCAGAGTTGGTAGGCAGACATTTGCAGGTGCAACCTGACCAATTGCCTGTCTTCCTGCAGGTGTGGCTGTGGCAGGAAAGGGATGGTTAGGAGTGCATCAAGCTCAGAGCATTCAGAGATGGACCAAACGTATATTAGTTTTTCATTCTAAGACTGTTGTTTCTCCAGTGTATTTACTAGCAATTGGAAGAATATTTCCTCTTTAGAGAATTCACTGCAGTCTATCTTCTTTCTCTAGAATCGAATTCCTCAGAATTTGTCACCACAGAGATCTATTCATCTGCCCTCTTTTCTTAAGGTATAATTAATATTACCCTAGTGGGTAATTGGTTAAAATAGTGGCCAAACAATGCCACTTATTATCTGTGAGAATTGGATAATTGCAACCTTGCTCCAGTATCTAGAGTAAGTTTCCTTAAAAAAATTATGAAACAGTAGTTAAGAATATATCCTGTTGGTAGAATGAAGGTTTGTGGGCACTGGCATAACCACTTATGAGGCCACAGGTTGTTTTTTGAGTTACACTGTTCCTGTAGCTCCCTACCAAGCTGGTATGATCAATTTTGACAGTAAAACAGGAACAAGTAGCATAGCATCTGACTATGATCCAGGCCTCCTTAGCTGCTCTGGCCCCTGCAGACTAACTCAGATGATCTCCTCTTTCCAGGGCTGGCTCTGTGAACTTCTCCGCTGGAAAGAAAACCCAAGTCCAGAAAACCGAACCCTCTGGGAGAACCTCTGCACCATTCGTCGCTTCCTGAACCTCCCCCAGCACGAACGGGATGTGATCTATGAGGAAGAGTCCCGACATCACCACAGTGAGCGCATGCAGCATGTGGTCCAGCTTCCACCTGAGCCGGTGCAGGTCAGTGCTCCCCTGCCTCCAGCCCAAACAGGGCTCTCTCTGTCTGTGTGGCCATCAAGGGCCAATGGGGCACTCTCTACGTTCTACCACCTCCTGCAGAGGAGGGCCGCTGCATGATCCCAGGACAGATCACCCTGTTATCATAGTGAGCACTGTGTAACTGTGTATGTATGTGCACAGAGAAAAATGACCAAGGATCCACATGCCAGAGGTATGTGGATAGTCTGTGCCTCATGAGGTTGTGAGGGCCAGTGCACTCACAGAGAATTAAATCTCCCTGCCAGAAAGCATCTTGTCCCTCATTTTGTCTGAAGTAACTTTTGATCCCAAATTCCTCAGAGAATATTTGATTAGAAGAAACAACCACTTGACCTGAGAAATATCTTTGAACTCAACTGAACCTTTGAAAGAATTTGTGACAGATTCCTAGAATGTTAGCATGAGGTGCTGCTTCTTTGGGTTTTCTTTTCAGAAACATGCCTTCATTTGGGTTGGCTTAGTTTTGGCTCTTATTGAAACAAATAATGTATCTTTTTGAAAGTAATTGAGCTTACTGACTCTGTCATCTAAGATCAAGAAGTGTTAGGATTTCAAGAAGTATTTGCCTATGAATTGGTTGGTCCAACTGTCCAATAACATCCATCAAAGGGGACTTCTCAAAGTCTAATGCCTCTTCTCTGTAGAAGAGGAAAGTTGAGGCAAGCATGAATGCATCTATGTGTGTGTGTGTGTGTGTGTGTGTGTGTGTGTGTGAGAGAGAGAGAGAGAGAGAGAGAGAGAGAGAGAGAGAGAGAGAGAGAAAGAATGGAAGGGAAGATGAGGATGAAAGATGGTTGAAGTGTGGTCTATGCTACAGAGGCAGTGAAGGCCAATGACCAAGGTAGTCGTAAAGTATGCTTGCAGGTGCCTGGGTCTACAGTCCCTTTGGTCCACCCTCCATACTATCAAGTCACATTTCATCCAAGTATTGACACCACAGACAAAGCTGTCATCTTATCATTCATTGGTAAACTTCCCAGACCAAAGTTAGAGAGTGAATTGCCCAAATTGTTAGACTCATGGGTTCATAAAGGTAGTCTCTTGTAAAGTCTTCAGTGAAGCAGAGTGTAAGGGTGCACAAGACAGTAAGGGTACACAGTTAGGAAGTGGCACAACCACCCAGCTTCAGGAGATTGAGCCACAGGGCTTACCCTATAGGACTCATCCTCCCTGTTTCTAGCTGGGACCTCAACAAAAACATACTGAGTCACAAAGAACATTGTTTTTTGACTCTGAGATTTTAAAGTCTTAAGATTAAAGGCGGGAGGCAATATAGATTTTCCAACCTTTTACTTTAGAAATAATTTGATTTGAAACGTGCAGACTCCTATTTGTGATCATTATTATTCCATCAAGTACAATATTCTTGAATATCAATCAATTAAATGGATAGTCTCAAAACAAAAGACCATGCCAACTATATAAGTACAGCCATATGACAAACACACTTTTTCCCTCATGGGGGTATAGCTTGCTCCATACATGTCTTTAACCTGCACAAAGCCAAAGGCTTTGGGAACTATTGAATTTGCATGGACTTTGTTATTCAGGGCCCATCCTAGTTCAATCTAGCAGCGAGAAACTCATTAGTGGCAGGCCCATTTCAATCATAGGACAATGAATGATGAGTTAAAAGCTTAGAGGAATTTGGGATAATAGTATAAAAACCCATTCTCTAATATGACTGGGGACCCCTTCATTTCAGTGCTAGTTCCCATAACATTCCTGGCTTGATTCTTTGTCCAGAATGCATCATCTTTGTAGAGCCTTTGGCTAGGTAGCTGAAAAAATATTCAACTTAGCATTTTGTCTACAGTTGAGTAAAGTAACTATTAGGAACGGACAGCCAATTGATTTATAAGTTTTGTTATCTTTTATGTTTGTATGTCAGAACCAGAAAGTGCTGATACTATGTAATGACTAACAGAAATTCACTTATTCTATAAAAGTTTATTCCTATCTCTCAGACCTTGGCTAAAGTGTTTATAACTAAGATAATTTACTGCACATTGAATCAGTTGCCCTATCCATTTCCCTTGACCTCGATGCCTTCAGTATTGTGAAATTCTCAGTACATTAGTTTTGTTTTGTTTTTTTTTTCCTTTTTCACATTGTGCCAGTCTCTGGGTAACACTTGCCTTACTGAATTTGTTTGTCAGAAAAATGCAAAGCTATAGATTAATTATTTATTACAATCAACTACGAAAAATGAAGAAAAATAGCTGGAACCGGCCAGCAGAACTCTTGAGAATGGAGAACACAGCTGGCACAGTTCTGGGACTCAGAGAGGACTGTGTTAAAGGGACACCAACCCACTAAAAATGCCTGTAATTGACCAGAAGCCACGTCATTAGATTTGGGTTGCAGTTCACTTCTACGCTGGATCAGCTAGATTTCTAGAGAGATAATTTTGTTTACTTACTTTAGGAACTTTCAATTCATATGCAGGGTAAAATTAGTTTGGCAGTGTTACGTTTTGTCTAATTAGATAGAGAAAGGCCATCGCTAAATAGTTAAAAATGAGTGAGACCAATGATGACCAAGTTTTTATGCATGTGGCACATTACAACACAGAGGCATCTTCCCCATGTGGTATTACAGGAGTGCTAGGAAAGTTTCTTTAGGTAGTTTGAAGATACAGCATACTGTGCTGGATCTTTCCTTTTGTCCTCCCTCCCATCTTTTCTTCCTGTGCTATTTTTTGTTGTTGTTTTGTTTTGTTTTTGTTTTTGAGATAAGGGCTCACTATGTAGCCCAGGCTAACCTTGAACTCTCATTCCTCCTAGAGCTGGATTTACAGGCTTGTCCCACTATGGCTGGAGCAATTTTTTTCAAATAGTGAAGATATGAGGCTAGAGATCTTTGTGCATAATGATTCAGTGGATTAATCTGTTAATCAGATTAATGGAATCCCACTGATATACTAGATGATAGAAGGAATTTTTTTTATCACCTGCTCATTAGGTGCTTTCTGTGGAGCTGAGACGTCCCCTTGAGACATAGCAGCTTTCCTTTCAAAAGAGAGTACATTTTTGGACAGTCTTGTGTTACCTGCAGATATGTTTCTTTTAAGTCCATAAAGGTTTAACAATATAAGCTCACATTTTAAAAACAGATATTATGTAAAACCCAGAAAATCAGAGGATCTGAGCCACAAAGCTCAAGAGTCACATGACTAGAGTTCTACCCTTTGTACTTAGCACCCATACACCATCTACAGTCCATACCCTGTGACATGCATGTGCATCTCATCTCCATCATTTATTTAAGCTTCATACCTATTGTATCAGCCCCTGTATGGTCTCCTGAACCCTATGTTTCACCTCAAGATCCACTGTCAAATCCACAGTGCCTTTGCCCTAAGAATCTGATTTATTTGATGGTAACAATTGCACACCATTTACAAAAACTTTGAACACCTAACATCCTTTGCATGCTTACCAGTCAATGCCTGTTTGGTGGAATTCCACTTCAGAGATAAAGCAAGGTTACAGTTGAACCCACATTGGGCTTAGCGCCATGGACGAATGCTGTCAGCCCTGGAGACTCGGTTGTTCTCCAAAATTACATGGCTTCCCTTGGGGATTCACATCTCCTCGGAGATGCATGGTTTTCAGGCCATGTTACCTGGCCTCTCCCGGCCTTCCCAACTCTACATACACTTCTTAAACTAAATCCATTCACCACCTAAACCCACGGAGAGGCTTTAATGGACCTAAGTTGCTGACCGTTGGGTAATGGGGTTACCAATCCTAGTGCTAGTAGTTTGTGTTCTACCAAAGAGGTATGGTGCATAAAGAGATATTCAGTACATTTCTGACATTAAATTTGATGGTGAAGGAAGGTGATTGGAGAGGAAAATGCCTAAAGCTTCCTTGGGGGTTGATAATAGGGAAAAGCTGATGAGTGTTAAGGACACAATGTTTTCAGTCTGTCTATATGGGCAATGTAAACAGCAACAGAGGTACGACAAAGTAAGGCAAACCAAGCCAAATCAAAGTATCACATGAAAAAGATGAAATAATTTTTTTTACTTGAAAATATTAGAACAAAATTATTTTTTGTGGTTGTAGTGATTTTTCTCCATCATGATTTTTGTTATTATGATAATAATTATTATTATATAATGAATGAACTCTATAGTGAATGGATAGCTTTAGCTTAGAATAAAAATGTAGTTAGGTTAGTTTATGCATTATTACCAACTCCATTTTACAGTTGCAAAAAACTGAAACAGTCATTGAACCTTGCCTGAAGCCAGTATTACCAGCTGCATGGAATCAGGGGTGGTGGAGGTATATACACTTCCCTTGGAATGCAGGAGAGAATAAATGACACCATCGTACTATGACAAGGTCCCTAAATAGACCCCACTGGGAACATTTGCCAAATTGTTTATTCTGTGTAGTTGGTGCTTTGTTGTATTTCTGTCATAGTGTTCCTATGGCTGATTTTGCAAATCAGGAATTCTGAGCTTGCTACTGTATAATTTCCTGATAAGTTCTTGTTTTCAAATTGTATGTAATGCTTTGAGGAAGAATGTGACAACTATCAGGGCACCGCTAGTCAGGAGGCAGAGATCTGAGGGTCACAGTTCTAAATTAGTCTACGTAGGAAAGTCCATGAGACTCTTATCTCCAGGGAAGCAACAAAAAAGCTAGAAGTGGAGCTGTGGCTTAAGTGGTAGAGTGCTAACCTTGAGCAGAAAAGCTCAGGGGCAGCATCCAAGCCTGAGTTCAAGCCCCAGTACTGGCGCAAAAAAAAAAAAAAAAAAGAAGAAGAAGAAGAAAAAAAGAATGTAATCCAGCTATGATAGCAACATACCAGCATTCTACCTTTCCTCATCTGGACTGCTGCTCACCTGGGAATTCTCAGCATTTTCTAAGCCAATCAGGTTCTCTGTAATTGGTGTCAATGATTCCCCACCAGGCTGATTTTGTTTATCCTGGAGTATTTGGAGG